TCGATCGATAGATAGATAGATAGATAGATAGATAGATAGATATTTTTTTAATATCTATGATGCTGTAATGATGCTGAAAAATCTACTTTGATCACAGCAATAAATTACATTTTACATTATATTCAAATAGAAAACAGTTATTTTAAATTGTAATAATATTTCACAGTATTACTGTTATCTTTCAAAAACAAAATATGTGACCCTCATTTGTGCATCCAATTTTCATAAGTCATCATGACTCAAATATGTGAGATAGATAGATATAGATATAGATTGTGTTTTATGAAATTTAAAGAGCACTGTAAAAAAAATCTGTGACATTTACGGTAAAATACCGGCAGCTGTGGTTGCCAGAACTTCACCGTAAAAAATATGGTAGCAACATTTAAGGTTTTACAGACTTAACTCAAATTCACAATAAAATACCATATTTCTTTAACTGATGTGATATCAATAAACCAACATATTGAAGTACTAATATCTGTTTTGAACCATTGTAATACTGATAACCACCAAAAACAGGTGGTGATGAGAAAGTCACATGATGAACCAAAGCTCATCACAAACAGCTTTTCTACGAGCTGGAGGGCAATACTTATATATAGAAGGTGCACAGTGTAACAATAACTTTTTCTTTTTCACTTCCAAAAACCGTATTTTTAACATTATTTTACTGTAAAATTACATTAAATGTAATTACATTTATTCACCGTATATAGTATGGAAACTTACTGTTAACCAATTAACAGGTTTTTACTGTAGCATTTTTACAGTCTTTTACTGTTAAAATCACAATCATTTTTTACAGTGTGCTCTACTACAGTGATGCTGAGGAGGACGAGGGTGAACTGAACTTCAGTGCTCTTCTCAAAGCCGTTAAAAAGTAAGTGTCCTCTCTATCCATTAAAACCACACTCTGTCTCCTCTAACCGCTTACTCTTATTTATCACATCACTCACTTTCACAGGAAAAAGAAGCCGGAGCCTGAGCTGGAGGTCGACGTTTGGGAGCTTCTGAAGAGCGCTCATCCCAGCGAGTACGAGAAGATCGCGTTTCAGTACGGCATCACTGACCTGCGTGGCATGTTGAAACGACTCAAGAAGATGAAGGCCATGGAGCCCAAATCCAGCGAGGGTACGAGAAAGAGAGATCAATGAAAACTCAAGTCTCTGATCTTCTGTTTGTGACTGTGTGTTTGTGTGTGGGATGTTTGCGCAGCGTTCCTGAGACGACTGGAGTCGGCGTACTCCGTTAACAAGGGAAAGAAGATCGTCCTGTCTGTGGAGGTGGTCGACCCTAATGCTGAGGTCAAATGGCTCAAGAACGGCCAAGAGATCAAACCTTCTGCCAAGTGAGAATCCAGAAAATACTCTTACATACATCCAGTTTCAAAGACACATTCACGAGAAATTTGGAGAAAACATTACAATAATTATTTAAGATGATCCATATTTTTAATATTTTGCACTTTAAATGTGTGTCATGCACCAAACAAAATGGCAAAAAGAACAATATTTTTCAACGATGCAAAAGCCAACAGAGGTCACGAGAAGCCTGGAGATCCAAACTTATTTATGGTCTCTGTCAGTTTCTGTCATGTTTAATATTGTAAGGAAGCTTCACATATTTCCGCGCTTTAACAGTCTCTTCGTATGGCAGATACATCATGGAGTCCGATAGAAACATTCGAACCCTCACGATTAACAAATGCAGTTTGGCAGATGATGCGTGTATGAATGCGTGGTCGGGACTGATAAATGTTTCACGGAAGTCTTTGTTAAAGGTGTGTGTAAATGAATTAAAACATGTATTTTGCATATATCGTATAACATTTATTAACATGTATCGCTCCATCGTAGTTTTTCTTTTTTAAAGTAATGAACTATTCCATTCATCAAAAACATTGTCACAATTACGCCATCGTCTTTTCAAGAAGTCAAGGAAAGAGTCCAGCGTATACAATGCCACATTGTCTTTATCTAATACAATGTTTAAAATCACTTTATCAAATTGCATTACAGAACCACTGATCACCATCACTAAACTGCTGGATGATTACCAAGTCGTGGTTGGAGAAAGAGTGGAGTTTGAGATCGAAGTGTCTGAGGAAGGAGCACACGTCATTTGGTAAACAAACTACAGCTTGCATCAAGATATCACTAATGCTTTTGTTAGACACCAAATACTTCAAACTATATAATACATATACATAACACAATTATACATGAGATATATATATTGGCAGCACTACTGTTTTCAACATTGATAATAATCAGAAATGTTTCTTGAGCAGCAAATCAGCATATTAGAATGATTTCTGAAGATCATGTGACACTGAAGACTGGAGTAATGATGCTGAAAATTCAGCTGCGCATCACAGGAATAAATTACATTTTACATTATATTCAAATAGAAAACAGTTATTTTAAATTGTAATAATATCTCACAGTATTACTGTTATCTTTCAAAACCATAAAATATGTGACCCTGGACCACAAAACCAGTCTTAAGTGTCAAATCGAAATTGAGATTTATAGATAATCTGAAAACTGAATAAATAAGCTTTCCATTGATGTATGGTTTGTTAGGATAGGACAATATTTGGCCGAGATACAACTATTTGAAAATCTGGAATCTGAGGGTGCAAAAAAATCTAAATATTGAGAAAACTGCTTTGGTGCTCCAGGGTCACATATATATATGTAGTCATATATATTCACTCGTTTTTATCATGAAACAGAATCAATGTCATGAGATGTATTTAGTTAATTAATAAACATTAAATTTCACCTCTGAACAGAGCAGTTGAATATTACAGCTTGACCTCTTTGTGTTTCTGTGCAGCCGAAGATCATCTGGATGAAAAACAAGATGATAATCGATGACAATCCAGAATAACCAGGGAGTTTTGACTCTAAACATCTGCAAACCCAGCACCTTCGATAGTGGAAAGTACTCTTGCAAGGCTGTGAATGAGCTCGGAGAAGATGAGGTGGAGTGCAAATTGGAAATCAGAGTACACTGAAAAGAAATTGACGTAGAAACAACTTTCAAGGGAGAAATTGCTAGTAAATTTCACAAATAATTACAAAGAAACGGCAAGTAATGCATTAAATTAAATGTGAAATTTTGAAGTAGAAATACTGAATTAATATTTGTTTTTAAAAACGTACTCCAGTAATCTTTATTTACAACTGTAACAAAAATCTTATTTATCCCATCCAAAGTGCACACACACAGCAGTGAACACACACCCGGAGCAGTGCGGCGCCCGGGGAGCAGTTGGGGGTTCGGTGCCTTGCTCAAGGGCACCTCAGTTGTGGTATTGATGCGGCGCCCGGGGAGCAGTTGGGGGTTCGGTGCCTTGCTCAAGGGCACCTCAGTTGTGGTATTGAAGGTGGAAGGAGAGCGCTGTACATTCACTCCCCCGACCTACAATCCCTGCCGGTACGAGACTCAAACCCACAACCTTTGGGTTACGAGTCTGACTCTCTAACCATTAGGCCACGACGTAGGGTTATGTGCTAGAAAATATTATTAGCTCAGTATAAAACGAATATAATTCAATAAAAAGACACAAGCCTGTGTGGGTACAAGAGTTCATTGTTTTAAACGCAGTACTTCAGTGAATCACTAGAGGGCGCATGTAGTACAGCGGCGCCTTCAGCGTTTCCTTTATTAAACTGCTGCTGTGACATGTTTTCTGACACGCTTGTGTCACCAGTTAAACACTATTACCAGGAAAGCATCTGTATAACATTAGAATATGTCATCAGACACCTTCCAGCTGGAAAGTTACTTGACACAGACAAAGAATATGAACAAACACAGTTATGCAACCAAACATCTCTTAGGCAAATCAGCTTTTAAGTCATTGCCGGAGGAGGATGAGTACATTTAAGGTGGTTTAATGTATATGTGTCATACTGACAGCACACAAGCTTTAGATGCTGGGAAACTCGATGCTTTATGGGTTTCCAACTGTGCAACATGTTACAGGAAGATAATTAAAGCAGGAAAGTCATACTTCATTTCACATTTCTCTTTTTAGTAATGCCACTGGCTGGCATTTCAAATAGCACATTATCATAGTGCTACATTTGAATTCTGTACGCAGAACACATCAAGTAGATATTATGCACATTTTCTGCTCATTCAATCCACTAATCTTCACAATTTACAGTTAGATATCCAAAGCACACTAACTTAACTTCATATCTAATGCAATAGCGCAGATCCGTTAATCTGTTTATAATAATAGTTTACCCAAACTAAAGAAGGCCATTAATGGCGTTGATGATATAAAACACATTAATTGAATGTTTTGATGTCCAAGACAACATGTATTAAAGGAATTTATCACCTAGTATTGATTGAAATAGTGTCAAATTCCACAAAGTCCAGGTCATATTTATTCATATATATATATATATATATATATATATATA